GGTCTCAATGACATCACCATAAGAGACAGGTATCCTCTGCCTCTGATGCCATCAGCTTTTGAATTGTTACAGGTAGTCAGTGTCTTTACTAAGTTAGACCTCCGTATTGCCTACCATTTGGTCCGTATTCGTGAGGGGGATAAGTGGAAGACAGCCTTCAACACCCCAATGGGAGACTTTGAATACCGGGTCTTACCCTTTTGGTGTCCGGGGGGTCGGTTGTTTGTGCCAGCTGCGCTGGGTCCTGAGGTCCTCCGGTGGGGTCACGAATCCAGGGTAGCCTGTCATCCAGGGGTTCGGAGATTGCTGGATGCCGTCCATCAGCGATTCTGGTGGCCATCCATGGTCCAGGATGTCAGGTAGTTTATGTTGGCTTGCTCGGTGTGTGCTCAAAATAAGACATCTAACCAGTCTTCTGTTGGTCTGTTGCAGCCTGTGCCCATTCCCTCTCGTCCTTGGTTACACCTGGCCCTTGATTTTGTCTTTGGCCTTCCCCCATTGAGAGGCAACACCATGATTCTGACGGTGGTAGATCGCTTCTCCAAAGTGGCCCATTTTATTCCCTTGCCCAAGCTCCCCTCTGCCAAGGAGACAGCACAAGTGGTGGTGGACAACGTTTTCTGGATTCATGGTCATCCGGTGGATGTGGTCTGCAACAGAATGAGGACCCAGTTTGTTCCATGGGTTATCAACCACCTCTTTTCCCTGCTCAGGAACCCGAAGCTGCGGTCCTGTCTAGCTTGGCCTTCGTCCGTCGGTGTCGTCGCACCTGGAGGAGGGCTTCCAGATGGACCAAAGCGGTGGCGGATCATCACAGGACTCCGGCCCCTCAGTATGTGTGTGGTCAGAAGGTATGGTTTTCCACCAAGGACCTGCCTCTCTGGGTGCCTTCTCATAAGCTGGCACCCCGATTCATTGGGCCATATCACATATCGCACCAAGGTTCTGAGTCCGGTAGCAGTGCATCTCAAGCTTCTGAACACTTTTGGTCGGGTTCACCCTGTTTTCCATGTGTCCAGGATTAAGCCTGTGTTTCGGTCCCCTCTGAATCCTGTTGTATTTTCCCATGTTTTCCGAGGCTCCAAGTGCAGTTTAGTTTCTGTTGTTTGATTAATTTTCTTGTTCGCTCTCTGCCTCTCATTCCTCCAGACCTCTGATCCTCAGTTCCTGCCCTGGCGTTACATGAGCCATGTATTACGGCTTCACTACTCCCATTCCTGTCGGCGTGCTCACTGGGGAATTCTCCGCTCTGACATTGGGACTCTGTGCGTTGTTCTCTCCGCGCTCCCAAGTATATTATTCAAGTAAAGACAGAACATTACAAAGACCGAACATGCAATGAATCATTGAAAACCCCATATTGGTAAACCACTTTCCTATAATATAGCTATATATTTGGGGTTCCTAACTATTCATATTCCGTTCCTTTCTGTAATGTTGTGGGATGTTTTTTTCTTTTTTCAACTCCCATATATATATTCAAGTATATATATAGTTCCATTCCTTTCCGTAATGTTGGTGTTTTTCTTTTTCCATCTTCCTTGTTGTCTTGATTGTTACAACTTTCAGGTTCTGTGATTGGACATCAGCCAGGTCAATCTTCATTGTCAACATGACGACAATTCCCCTTTCGGAACCAAAAAGACACCCTCGGCCAAGTATAAGGACTTGGAAATGATACCTCTCAATTGTTTGTCACGCTCTGTCCACCTTTCGAATTTTTGTTCCAATTATGAGTTAATAGTTTGTATTATAAGTTATTTCCATTTGCTCCATCTTTTCTAAATGTGGTTTGTGTCCGACTGTACTTTGATTTGATTTCTACTCTCTTTTTAAGAGTAGATTGCTGTATTTATCTCTGACTCATAGTGCTGAGACAAGGTTAGTATGTTACGTGAAGCAACATGTAGAGTTTAAGCTTGCATAAAAACACCAGTTTAGGAGCTGGAGCCAATATTTGTATTTATGTTTGGTTAGTTAGCGTAGTTAATTGGAGTTTAAAGCTGAAGACTTGCTTTTTTAAAACTTAGATTAGTGTTGGATTAGTTGGAGTTAATATGCGTTTTGTTTTATTATTATTATTATTATTATTATTATTACTGTTATTATTATTATTATTATTATTTCAGCCCCACTCATGTCTCACACGTTTGGGTTTATTATCAGTATGTGTGTATATAATTTGTAAATATAGTTTTCTTTATGTTTTTGAGGCATTGGTTGCCACTCTAAATTTAAAGAGCAAGTGTTTTGTTTTGGTGGACATAATTCTTTATGAAAAATTAGCTGATACTCATTTCTTGTTTCTGTTTGATTAATTACTCCACCCAACTTATCTCATTAGTAAGTGGCTGCTCCGATTCTAACATCTTAAATTTTTCTTTATTAATTTATACTTTGTGTTGACTTCCTATATCCCTAGACACTAATAATAACAACATATATATATATATTGTTACTCTCTTAGTTTCTTTACTATTTTTTTCCTATAGTTTGTATAAGTTTTCGCTTTAAATAATTGGATTAAAGAAATAAATAAAAGAAGTGATGATGTCAGTCGTTGTGACGAAACTGTTGTGAATGGACGAACATTTACAAATCGTCAATGTTTACAGTCCACTGTTTACACACAAATGGAAATTTGTTCAGATCGCCATTTAGTGGTACATTTGAAAAAGCATTAAGGGAATTTACTTTGACCACAAATGTGTAGGCCTATACCTCTCTATTTCCTTTGCAGCAAGACAGTTTCATTACAGTAATCAAGGATTGTGTTCGTAGAATGTTGCGTGCAGGCTGGGGTTTCTGTGCGTGTTTGTGTGTTTTCTGTTTGTGCTCCACTGTAAAACATATACACTACACACTTAAATGCTCACACAATAGCTTTTATTTATTTATTTGTTTATTTATTTATCTATTTAAACTAAGGACACTGTGCAGGTTGTGTTTTTCCCCTTAATTTCGATACATAAACAGGATAGAATGTGATTTTATGAATCACTGTTTGGGCAGGAGGTGCCGCAAATTATTGGACAAAACAAAATAAATGCGGCTACACTGACACCTAGTGCGTGACATTGGGGAAGACATTCATATCGGTTTTGAAGAACAACTTTTTGCTTCCAGACTAAAAATGAGACTGAGTGCCTGAAAAATCGACACAGAAAATATTCACATGCTAATTTGTGGGTTTTTTCAGATCCATTTACATGCTTAAACAAGTGCAATTAAAGCATAATAAATATTACAAATTTAGTATACACTTAATAAATATGCAGCTAGACAAATATTTGAATTCGATGCAAATGAGGCCCATGACCAACAACTCTCTGCACCTCTTCTGATTTAGCCTCTTGTTTCTATGACCCCCCCAAAAGCATCTGGTCTCAATAACATTCTTTTGCTCTCTAATACAATCCAAAGTCTTACACCTACAAAGTTTTTCTTCTAAGGATAATTAATCAAGACTGCTGACATTTGATAAATGAATTGCAAATAATTGCTTAATAGTAGCCAACAGATGCCCCAACCTTCTCAAGAGTTGTGACCTAACTCAAAAGAAACCCTTTTTAGATTACCCCTTCCAAAGAACAGTAAACACATTACATCACATATTAACTGCTAGATGGATTTACAATGATTTTGACTTATTAGATAAAAAATACAAACATGAAGCTTGAAAAGTATCTCTGTGCTCTGTTGTAAAATATGTACACTGCCAGTTTAAAGTTTGGACACACTTAAAGTGATAGTTCACCCAAAAATAAAAACTCTTTCATCATGTATTCACCCTCATAAGACTTTGGTTAATCTTCAAAACACACATTAACATATATTTAATGAAACCTGAGAGGTTTCTTTCCTTCCACTGAAAGTCCAGGGAACCAAAACTTAGAAGATGCAAAAAGGTTTAATCCAAGTCTTGTGCATAGATATGATCACTTTATATGATAAATAGATTTAATTTAAGCTGTATTCATCTATAAAGACACATGCATAGAACACTTCACATACAGTTAATGCGGAAGCTCACTACAACAATCCTCATTGGTTCTCGTGTATCACACACGTTTAAACTTCCGTTTTTACCTCTGCAAGTCAGGTGGTTCTTTGCCTCCACATCATGCATTAAAATATAATGCACACCTAGCAATAGATGATCCCTTACACATATTGTCCTATTTGATCCTCATATAAAGCATTGTGGGTTGTCCTTCTGCCAAAAGACATAGGTTATATAAGGATATATATAACCTAAAAATAATTAGGCACATTTTTAACATTGACCGTATAAACTACTTTGTTTGAAAGGTCAGATGTTCTTGCTTTCACTGAGGCACACAAGATACTCTTTGGATCATCATGTTTTACACCAACTTATGCAGTTAAAGTGCTGCTGTCAAAGGGCAACTTACTAAATACTAATAATTGAGTTTTTAATTAAACTCTTCACTTAAATTGTTCTGCTGATGACATATTATTACATAATGTATACAATGCATTATATAATAGAATTATAGAATATAAAAAGTAATATTTTAATAGTAAAACAGAGGTAAAGGATTCAGACTTGTGGACACTATTGTACATTGTTATAAAATGAAAGCATTATGTCAGGGTTCTGTCACTTCGGTCTAGTGTAATTCATGGTTTTGTGACAGAGCCCTGACACTCGCGTCATGTCATTGTTTGTGTGAGCGTGCGGTCTCGAGTTCGCTCGGCCGTGCGCTCTTCTGTCCACGTGTGTTGTGTAGCACACGGTTTGTGTTCAGCCGCATGCTTTTCTTGTTGTCTTGTGTTGTTGCACGCAGCTTGTGTTATCGGCTGCATGCTTTCATGTCCTGTTTTGTCTTGTGCTGTGTAGCACGCAGCTTGGTTTTTCGCTGGCTGCGTGCTATCTTGTCTTGTGTGAACACGCGGCTTATGAGTTTTCTCATTAGCTGCGTGTTCGTGTTTTGTGTGAGCACATGGCTTTTGTCTTTGTTTCCTGTGATTTGCCCCACATGTGTTCCCTCGTTACCCTCCTCATTTGCTCTCCATTTATTCTCCTTGTGTTTGCAGTCCAGGGGCAGTTCGTCATCGTATCTCCCTGGATGTGTCCTGTCGTGTCTTGTCCAGATCCTGCCTTGCCTAGCCAGCCTGTTTTTCCCCCACGGGGTAGTTTTTGTTGTTTTGTTTTGTTCTGCCTTCAATAAAGCCCTTATCTTCCTGCAATATTGAGTCCTCGCTCCGTCCTTCATCCCTAAACCTGACACATTAAGCATCAATTATAGACAGTTTGGAAAATAATTCCTCTGAGGAACAGTAAGAGTGCTCTAAGACTCTAATAAGTGACCACCACCAGGTGCTACTCAAACTTAAAAAAAAAAAGATCAAAGAGCTACAGTCTCTGTCTCATCAACTGGTCTGAGTACAATAGACTTAATATAGGAGAAGTGAGTCAAGTTGACCTGGGTGTGCAGTCTCTCCTTTTGCTCCAGAGAGCAGTATAGTGAATAAGTGAATTTGGCCAGCACCATAGTACAGCAGATTTCCACCAGCAGCATTGTAGTATAATATATCATCAGTTCCTTGCATGATGAGTACTTGTGGGTGGTAGTAGGTGTTGAGAGAGGGGCCTGAGGAGAGCCGGTACAGATGAAACTAATATGTGTGGTAAGAAAAGGTGTTGTTTTCCTTGTAGTTGTGCTGGATGGTAAGGTAGTTGCTGTCGTTTTTTGACTTGTAATAGTGGTTGGGATTAATATAGTTGTAGTGGCTAAAGTTGTTGCAATTGTAGTTTGGATTGTCAAAGTTGATGTGGTGGGAGTCACTGTAGTCGTTACATGGGCCGTTGTTGATGGTACCGTGGTTGTAGAAGTGGTGGTCGCTGAAGTTGTTGTTTGTACTGTCGTTGTGGTGGGAATCAATGCAGTTGTCAGGTGGGCAGTTGTTGGCTGAAGTGTAGTTGTTGATGCTGTGGTTCGGACTGATGTAGTTGTCGGAGCTGTAGTTGTAGCAGTGGTGGTAGGTAGTGTGGTTGTGGTTAGTAGCAAAGTTGTGAGTTGAGTAGTTGGTGCTGTGGTGGTTGTCTGTGTTGTAGTTGGTTGAGTTGTTGTTGGAGTAGGTGTGGTTGTCGTCTGTAAAGCAGTAGTTGTTTTAGGTGCTGCTGTCGTTGAGGTTAACTTTGTTGTTGAGGCAGTTGTGGTGTGCAGTGTGGTCATGGGAACGGTACTTGTAAGGAGAGGGGTGGTAGTTGGTGAAGTTGTGAGGCATATTAATTGTTCTTCTGTTAAAGAGATGATTAATTGATTTAGCAGATTTTTTGGAAACTCGCAAACTTCTGGAGGTTTTGATTTAATCTTGCCCTTATTGTTCTTCATCCATTCATAGAATGGCAACAGGTTACAGTCACACTTCCATGGGTTCTCATTCAGGTACAGTTTACTGAGTTTTGGAAGAGCATCAAAAACATCGCCAGGGAGGCTTTGTAGTTTATTATTTCCCAGTTTGAGCATTGAAAGAGACTTTAGTTTTTTAAAGTCCTCTTGTTTTAATGACTCTATATTGTTATTTTGTAAATTCAGATCAGTCAAGTTCTCAAGGCCTTCAAAAAAGTCTGCAGATATAATTGAAAACTGGTTTGAGGAAAGGTCTAACTTCTTTAGCTTCTTAAGTGGACTGAAAACTCCAGGTGGTAAGTGAGTGAGATTGTTATGGCTTAGACTTAATTCAGTTATTTTGAGCGTTTCTCCAAAAAGGACGGTGGGAAGACTGGTGAGTTGATTTTTGTTTAGAGTTAGACTCTTTAATAAAGTGAAACCAACAAATAGATCTGGCTGCAGTTCTGTTAAAAGATTATTGTCCAAATAGAGTTTTGTTAATTTACTTTTGTGTGGAAATAAATTTGGTTGTATATAGGAGATTTGGTTGCGTTGCAAGGCTATCTCTTCCAAATCAGGGAGATTATCAAAAATCCCATCAGGTAGAGCAGTCAACTGGTTCTCATAAAGCCTGAAAATTTTCAAGCTCTTAAGACTGGAAAAAAGAGATGTCGATACGGAACTAAGGTTGTTTTTTGCAAGATGAAGAATCAAGAGTTCCTCTAAATTGTCAAATGTCCCCTCCTCAATGGAACTGATCTCATTCATATGTAGATGTAATTCCTGAAGCTTTTTTAAATCATCAAATAACCCATTTTCAAGGCTATGTATTTTGTTATTTTTTAAAACAAGTTTTAGAAGGTTGTTGAGATCCTTAAAAACACCCACAGGTAATGATGTAACATTTGTGACAGAGATCTCAATAATCGTGATATCAGGCAAACCCTCAAAGGCTCCAACCTCTACAGAGTGAGTTGAAGTACCAAGAAATTCGATTTTCTTTATTTGAGGGTTTTTAGATAGAACTCCTTTTGGTATCACAGGAATCTGACTGTTTACAAAAAATATTTCATCGGCTCCATCTTTTAGTTTTTCAGGAATTGCTGTCACAGTTTTGTCATACACGTCTTGATTTTTGCAGTCTTCATCTTCTTGACATATATCTGCAGTGCAGCTCCAGTGCAAGTGCACAAGTATGTAAATGAATACTAGTGCAATTTTTAAATGCATATGCCTGTTGAAGAATAAAACATTAAAATCTAATTCCCATGACTTACTAATATTAAAAGACTTGATTTGACTTGACTTGATAAATAATAATAAAGAACATAAAAATGTCTTTATATCTTGTGCATACTGCATTGCGCAAGCAATTGTATTTAAACAAAATCAAAATTATTTTGATAAATTAATAATTTATGAATAAAAATAAAATAATAGTGAGCTTTTTTTGCTTTTATGTTCCTGACCTGCATTTGTCTCATTAAATGTAAATAATTTTTCTTACCTGCTCATCTCAGTTGCAGCTGAATGAACATTCAAAATGATGTTCCTAAAAGCAAGAATAAGTTCGTAGTGCACCACTCTTATCTACACATCCCAAGTGTTTACTGCATGTAAGGCAGTAGAAAGGGTGTGGACAGTTTGCTTTCTGTTTGAAGAGATAAAATATTGCAAATTCACTTTCAAAAAGTTTCACAAAGTACACATAATTAATTGGTACACTAAATTAATTATCATATTTTCAATGCCCAAATTATGTAAACAGAATGGAAAATAATATAAGCAAAGCAGATGTAGTAGTGTAGTAGATATAGAAAAAACATAAAATAAGCATTAAAAATACTTTGCAATGAAACCAAGATACCAAATTTACTTGCATACCAAGTTGTAACACCCTGATGGTTCATGGTTTTTATTTACCGTATTTGCCCGAATATAAGACGACCACGTTTTTTCAGATGTATTTCCAAGAAAAAAACATTGTCTTATATTCGGGTCAATACGGTAATATAGAAAGCCTTGCTTACTATATAAAATGATTTTGCTATTAAGAAAAAAACATGTTTAATACAGAACTGCAGAAAGTGTATAACCATTGACAGTGACAAGAAAGGAAAACAGTACATTTCTTCATATGCAACAACATTCACAGTGTTGGGAAGTAACTAGTTACATGTAACGGAATTACGTAATTTAATTACAAAATAAAAGTAATTGTAATCAGTTACAGTTACTGAGGAAAAAATGTGTAATTAAATTACAGTTACTTATGAAAACGTTAAGGATTGCAAAGGGGGTTACATCTGATTTGTTCACACACACACACACACACACACACACTGTACAGATTTAATTGATTTCTTTCATGAATTGCAGTGACAGCTCTAAAATATGAAACACCAATGTTTCAGGAGTTTAGACCATGCTTATTTGATAACTCTTTTATTTCCTATATGGGTTTATGTATAGCTGTTCTTCAATTTTTAAGATTAACAGTTTTTTCCCCAAGGCATTGTTAGATTCCAGACAGTGTTTCCTGTCATAGCTATGCAAAGATTTCATTTCAAAAACAGTATCATAGCTATTAAACTATTTCTTGTTATGATTTTAAATATGTATTTAACCACAGAATGATTTTAGGACTTACTCCTTCTGAAATTCCACCTGGATCACAAACATGGGTACTGATCTATCCTTGAGTTTTAACTTTTTAACAAAACATGCCTTGAATTGTCCCTCATTCAGAAAGCAGTCTGGAGTTAAATTATTTGCGCAGACATAAATTAATGTAGGTGTATTCGGTGGTGCATTACCATCAAAAACAAAACTAATGCACTGCGTCCTAAGTGTCTCTGATGTCAGGAGAAAATTAACACTCTTATGTTCTTCTACATCCCAAAACTGCAAAACACCTGCATTGCTTACAAGACATTGCCGCTACAGCTGCTAGAGTGCGGAGAGAATGATGGACTTCGTACAACTGGCTGAGGGCAAAACTATGCTAATACTGGACAGTACTTCAGCAGTTGCGGGCGGGCCTGAGCAAATATGACATCATACTGCTCAGAAAATCAGAACGGCTTGATAATTGAGACTGTTTAGGTTTTTGGGGGTTTAAAAAAAGAGTGAATGGATTTTTATTATTGTAGGGTGGTTGTGTCCACACACATTTTGCATCCAATGTCTCCTTTAAAATTAAAATATTATAATCTTAATTCAAGTGATGAAGGATTTTGAAAGTCTGACAGGAGTCAGTGTTGACTATTGAGTATTATTGAGTGTAAGATTAACCCTGCCTGGTTTATGTTTGAAAATTATTAACAGTTGAAAACATTAGAAATTTTGAAAAGTAATCAAAAAGTTATCAAATGTAATCAGTCACATTACTTTAATAAAGTAATTGAAAAGTTACACTACTTATTACATTTTAAGTACGGTAACTTGTAATCTGTTATTATATGTTATTATAATATGTATATGTATGTATGTATGTGTATGTGTATGTATATATATATATATATATATATAAATTTGCCCATTGGCCTCTGATCATCATGGCCTCCTAACAATCCCCATATCTACTGATTGGCTTCATCACTCTGTCTCCTCTCCACCAATAAGCTGGTGTGTGGTGGGCGTTCTGGCGCACTAT